GTGACTTTCACGAGATAAGCTCCAAATGAGCCCTGTCATCCACAAACTATGGTCACTGATAACAGTATTCTCTTTTAAACTCCCTAATGATCTTTTTGTGACAGGCAAAATATTTAACAAGAAACACAGTGGCAGGAAGTGTAGAGGCTATTAAGAGTCTGGATGACTTTGTTCTACAATTAGCAGTAAGTGACTGATCATCTTTCCATAAAGTCCAAACAAAACATCTTACGTGAATGCACAATGTTAAAAAATTGAGCCTCTAGACACAAGGAAAATAATAATTACTGAGAACGCAAGACAATAATGTTGAAGGTCTTGGTGAAAAAAGGGCACTGTTAGTGATTACTTTTCTGGAAATAAAAAGTTGCTCAAAAATGTCAGAGCCAACATCAACATTTCAGTATATAACTGACAGTTACCAGTACTGGTCCTTCCAAAAAAAAAATGAAAAGTGATTGACCACCCCCGGAAGCTCTGTTTGCCCTTCTATAACCTGCAAGCAACCTTAAGAACATTTTTGTGTAAGAACAATATTTTATATTATGTTTCTTTATTTCAAATGCTATTTCTGTACCTTAGATGCAATCACAAGTCATACCCAGTCATTTTTCAAAGTCTTGTTGCAGAAAGTAGTATAAAATAATGTGATCAATGATGGACGAAGAAGGAAAAATCGTAAATAACTTCATGATGTGTTTTAGCCAATAGGGTGGGGGGTTAAGGAATGCCGATTTATTAAATAAATCTTAACCACTGAAAACTGTAATTTGTCCTTGAAAAATCCTTGAAAAGTCCTTGAAATTTTTTTGTTCAATTCCTGTCGGGAACTCAGATTTTTTCTTTGTCCCATGCTCGTGACATGTTGATTACACCATTTCTCATTTCTTTACCGAGCTCAAAATTTACCATCTTTCTTTATTTATCACAGCCCTGTTAATCTTTCTTGTTTTCCTTTACAGGCATGTGTTCCTGTAGAAATAATGCCAGGTGAATTTGATCCAGCAAATCACACGATGCCACAGCAGCCCCTCCATCGCTGTATGTTTCCTCAGGCAGTGGCTTATTCTACTTTCCAAAGTGTTACCAACCCATATGAGGCTGTAATTGGAGGTGTAAGGTAGCCAAAGGAAATTTACGTAATATCTTTTCATATAAGTTTATCTAACCAGCCTTTCATTAGCCGGGGACCAGGCTCCTAAGTGAGGGAAAAGGGCTAAAAAAAGGGCCAACAAAGCAAGACAAGTGGGAGTCTGGGGAGGGAGAGGGTGGCCGCTGCCCTTTCTCTCTCCCCAGTCGACCACTAGGCTCGCTTTGCTCACCAATTGTTTTTTATTTGTTTGTTTGTTTGTTTTTTTTGTTGTTTCACCCAAGTTTTTGCCTTTTTCCTTCACCACAGAGCCTGGTCTCAGGCTAGTTTTTTGTTTAAACCCTGAAAAAAATGGGGTCATTGCCATGGTAACATGAATAATTGAAAACAAGCCTAAAATTTTGAATTTATTAAGTTTCCAAAAAATTAAATCATTAGATTTTCTTACAAATTTGTACATAGCTTCCATAGCTTTCCTGGAAATTAATGTTGATTGTATCACAAAACCCCTTCGTTCAAAATTTGTTTTGAGGCTTTCATTGAATAGGATTTCTGCCAAATTTCGTCAAATTTTGAAATAGCATGTAGGTTTTAAGATATTGTCATTTATTTACAATTATTCTTATAAAAGTCAACAAAACAAGCACCCTCACATTGCTTCTTAATTACCTATGCTCAGCATTTGTGCGTCCGTTGAGGTAACATGATATGTCAAAAAGACAAAAACAATACTAAATAGCACGTTGTCACCCTTTTTTCCTTAAAAGCTTATTGGATGCATACCTCCCCATGTTTAAGATGTTAAGATGAACAGTAAAGGTATAAATCAGATCTGATCAAAACGTCTGGGGTGATAGGCTTCTGATGTCAAGAACCTAGTCGTAATTTGATAGGGACCTAACACTCCTCTGTTGAATGTGGACAGTTTTTGTTCGCCAAAACAATTTTTTAATTTTTTAAGCTGACAAAGTATTCTTTGCTACTGAAAGGTTTTGTACGTGTTCAAAAAGGATGTTAAAGAAAATTATATAATTTTCAGTCTCCATCAGTACTTTGATTGACTTTGTTTTGATTTTTGATGTCAGGGTGCTTGGTACTGCAGGACAGAATGTAAATGACATCTTCAAAGTGTCCACCTTTGAAGATCGCTTGGAGATTTTAGAGCACACTATGAAATGGAGTCACATTGCGCCCACAGCTCCTGACACCTTAGGTAAATTGTATTGTATTGGTCTAAGAACTCCAGACTTGTAAAAACGTTTTAAAATCAGATGGAAAAACTTCATCAAAATACTCTTTTTAGTGTCAGAGCATTGATTCTTGTCCTCATGCTGCTCAGAGACAGGGATTTGAATGAGAATTTTTGAAGAGGTGGTCACACATGGAGCTTTGAATTAAGCCTTTCAAACACCAAAGATAACCTTTGCACCTCATTGTGACTAAATACACCTTCCAAGAAATTCTCTTCCTCCCAGTCCAAACTTGTTCAATAACAAAGGAAGCGACTGCACGTTGTCCATTAGCTGGGACAAATATGCCAGTGTCAAGTTAACAAAGTTCATTCTTGGATCCGAGGCTGAGGGGAATTTGAAACAAAAGAAATGAATTATTTATCCATGAATCTCAAGGCAATTTCTTTTGTTTTATGCCCCTCAGCTTTGGGTCAAGTAGGAACTTTAATGATTCGAAACTGGCCAGTTGCTGGCCCTCATTAGCACTTCTGCAGTGTATCTGCCTTATACATGGCTATCTGGTTTTGCTAACAATTGCTATTTCAATTGTTCAGGTTGTTATCCCTATTATGAGAAGGATCCCTTCATTCTGGACAAATGCCCACATGTGTGCTTTGTTGGAAATCAGCCTAAGTACCAAAGTAAAACTATTCAAGGTAAAGTCCCCTTGTCAGTGTTTCATTTTACTATAATACAAGCAGCTTACGCATAATCACGGTTCTCATGTTGGTAGGTTTAAAGGGCAACAGTTTGCTGCTTTGTTGTAGCCACTCTCCGACTTTATTAGCCTCGTACGCAGAAGTTCTTAGGGCTTTGTCATGCGTGAATTTGTGACGAAGCCCTAAGCGCAGGGGAGGAAAGTGTGATAAAACCCTAAAAATTCTGAGGAGGCTACCCCTTTATAGGATGAAAAGGTAATGATGTTGATAAATTCCATTCTTTGTTTGTTGTGTAGGGGAAAATGGCCAGAAAATACTGCTGATAACAGTACCTACCTTTTCCAATACAAAGACATGTGTACTGTTGAATCTGAGGACACTCTCGTGCCATCCAGTGAGCTTCTCTGCCTCACTGTCAACTCAACAAGACAACAGTACCAGTGATGAAGAGATGGAATTGTGAATATGAGCCAAGATTAAGAGTGTACATTCTAGTACATGTATATTATGTTAGCATCAACACAAGAACACAATAGGTCATCATTCTGACATTGCTGCACTGGTATCTACCTATAACATATAAGCAGCAATTAGAGAAGGATTGTCCAGCTTGTACTTTCTTCCCAAATCTGTTCTGCATGAACTAATACTGTAGCATAAAAAAAAATTCATGATGAATGCCTTTTCATACATTATCATTTCCAATATGTAATTTATTTACTATAATTGAAGAATACTTACAAATAAACTTCTTCATTTTATTTGGCCAGTTTCATATTTCATGATAATTATATTGACCAGTAAACAGACTTCACCAAAAGTAGATTAAATAAAAACTTTAATAAGGTTACCTTAGCCACCCCTTTCCAACCTGCACATTCATTTCCCTACTAATAATACTATTGAAGCATAAATGATGAAGAATAGATTGAGAATTTCCTAACTTAGTGAGTTGTTTGCCACTTTCTGTTGTTAGAAGCGAAAAAATTCATTTCACATTCCATTGATAAATACATGGGCACTTGGAGAAGAAATGGTTTCCAGAGTTCTTTACTGGTTCTTGTTTACAAAATTATTTGACAAAAGTCATCAAAAACTGCCTCATAAATAATTCTTAAAGAAAAGACAAAGGGCACTAACCCTTCACTCATGGTGAGATTATTTTTTACTCTAACTTTTGAATCTATGGAGGAAATAATGGTGTTTGTCAACCACTCAACTGAAACCTGTTTGGTAGAACTTAAGCTTAGTGCTACAGTCGAACCTCCATGTGCATCTACCTCTCGTGAGCCACCACTTCCCTTAACTGACCAACTATCCAAAACAGCAAAACTCAGTTCCCAGTCAAAGCCTTACAGTTGGAATGTCTTGTAAATGACCACCTCTTATTCCTATCCTCTTATTTTTATCGATGTCTTTTTGTCTATATAATAAAAAGAATATTACACGGCGGCTTGAAGATATGAATTTTATTTTCTCATAACAAAAACAATATTTTACTCACTTGCTACGCTCGTTTGTAAAATATTGTTTTGCCACTCAAAAATAAAATTCATATCTTCGCGGCACCATGTAATATCCTCTATGTAAGCAATCACTTGACGAATTATCTTATCTCTTATAATCACTGCATGTAAGTTATGCTGCTTGGAAAATAATATATACAAAGAATTTTAATAACATCATGAAACTGCACATATCATGACTTGGAAATTGCATAGAGTAAATTATCTTCCCTAAAGCAGATGTGTCCATACATATTCTTGGAAGAGACCCCTGTGGTTCTTTTCTCGTAAGCGACCACCAAGTCTTCACACTTTGGGTGATCACCTAGCAGAAGTTTGACTGTGTTTACTTGTTAGGACTTTTCAACAATCACAAACTCTCAGTTCATGTTTTATCAGTTACGCAGTCCTACTTATTTATTATTCATGATATCATCTTCCTTATTGTCATCATTTAATACTCTAAATATTAATATTAATTTGATCTTAAATGAGTTGAAAATTTCTCAAAAAATTGTCTTCAGTCAGCAATTTAACAAACCTGCTATTAAAACTGAACAATGTAAAATTTTTCGCAAAATTTAAGAGTAGATTAAATAACCATATTTTTTTACTAGAGTGATTTGAACATTTCTCAAAAAATCTTTTTACCCAGCATTTTAACTAACCTGAGATTAAAACTAAACTATGTATAGCATTTTCTTAAAATAATGTATTAAATCCATACGCATTCCTTCCTGAAAGATTTGAAAATTTCAAAAGAAGTTTTTTTTTCAGTCTTCAAAGCATTGAACAGTTGTGTAACTGCTCAGCATAGATCCAGGAAAAATAGCACAACCATTTTCCAAAAACTCAAGCCTTACATGCTCTAAGTGGAGTCAGGGGTATGCATCCTGAAAAATTTATTCATTTTACTCCTGTTGGAGCTGTAATCTAGTGTATAAACAAGAAAATATGTCAGGGGCTTAAATAATTGGGGCTTATAACTTGGCATTATAGTGAAATTCATTGTATCGCGCTGCGCGATTTGCAAACTTCGAAGGAAGTTTGGGTTTTTCTGTTTTGTCAATCATCTTAGCGGACCTCTTAGGAAACACATGTTTACTTGTGATTGGTGCATTTTGATCCACTTTGTTTGTTTCTGTGTTTCAAGGTTCGCTGCTCATCATCGCCCTGTTTCGGGCAATGACAACTAGTTTTCTTCAAAGCTTTTTATGATGTTTCTTATTCTTGCCTCTTGCAAGAATAAAGCAATGACTGCCTCCTGCCCTCAACAAAAATTCCACTTATCATCACGATTTCTTTGCTATTCTTGAGCATTTTAGGGGTCATTCTCAATTTTGTTTTTGCAGGCCAAGCTGGGCGAGTGTGTTGCATTGTGATTTGCATTAACTCCACCCCACTCAAATGATTGACAGAACAGAAAAACCTATTCGAAGTTTGCAAACACACAGCACAATACAACAAATTTGGCTATAATAACTTTAAGGTATCAGTAAAATTAATAACAAAAAAGCCAGGGTTCCCCAGATTGCCTTCATGTATCATGAATGATCGAATAAACTACTTTGATTTTGTTTTCTGTGATCAGCAGAAAATTGCTTTGTGCCCTGACAACTTGAATTGAGTCTGTAGTTCAATACCATGATCAATTTTACTTCAATGAGCATTTTTCAACACTGCTACTCCAGCAGCTGCTCGACATCTTGTCATGGGAACGACCTCCTCCCATTGGTCAGTTCTTGGGTCGTAAGCCTCCACAGTATTAAGATATGAAGGTCCATCTATTCCACCCACGGCATAAACCCAACAGCCGTAAGTCATAACACAAACACCATCGCGACATGAGTTCAATGATGCAGCTTCTTGCCATGCATTCATACGAGGCTCATACATTTCCACTATATCAAGTCTCTGGGCACCATCAAAGCCCCCAATAGCATAAATGCGACCATCCAGAGCTGCTGCACCTATTCCCGCCCTAGGCCGACTCATAGGAGCAAGCTGAGTCCATCGATTGGTATGTGGGTCATAGCATTCAATTGAATTTAAAAATGACACTCCATCATTACCACCGATTACAAAGATGCGATCTCCAAGCTCTGCAACGCCTGTGTAAAAACAAAAATTATTAATAATACCATAATATTAACAAAGCTGAGTGAATAAACTTGAATTAGTTATAATTCAAAAGAAACTGTGGTTCTGTGTTGGTGAAGTTGTGAGTGAGTTTTTCACATGAGGGCAATCAGTGGTATCCCACGCATCAAGGCAACATGGAAAGCCGTAAGACTGATTTAGAACAAAAGTGTTGTATTTTAAATCCCCCTAGAATCTAGGAACACTTTTCATTCTAGTTATATGTTCTTGTGTTTCATTCTGCACCATATGTTCCAATTTACAGTGTAGCTCTACACCACACATTATTATCCCACAATCCCTTAAGCCCCTCTGACAAAAAGGGAAAAAAAACAGCAAAAAGAATGAGGCCAATATGTAGTCATCTTGACCAAACAAGCTTGATAAATTTAAGGAATTCATTAAATGACAAAAACAATACCTTTTCTTGCCGGGCAAAGCAGGTACCACTGAGAGGGCAAGACAGGCCTATCTTGCCTGTTTAGGTGGCCAATGGAAACTTAGGATTTGCCCCCATCTTGCCCACTCAAGGAGCCAGCCACACAATTTTTTTTTAGATTTACTGCTAACATACCATAATTTGCAATTTTTGTGCCCTTGAATAAACAATTCTTAACAGAAATGGTGTTTTCCATCAAAACTGCCTGACCTTCCCTAAGTTCTTGGGGGAATTTTTTGACAAAAAGGTGGCCATATTGGTATATTGGTGTACCAGTGGGGATTGAACTCTTTTCTCAAGTGAAAACTTTCCTTTTTTCAGAGAAATTTGCATAGCTGCTAACCATGTGAGTGAAAACGATCTATAGTGAACAGAGTTTTAGTAAAAGAGTATTTTTAGACATTGAGAAAAATACAACATAACTAGTAGTCAATCACGTACCAGGAAAACTGCGGGTCACATTTGTGGGTGCAACAAAACTCCAAATATCCACTAGAGGATCATATCTTTCCACAGTTTTTAAACATGACCGTCCATCATAACCACCCATGGCATACATTGCTTCACCAAGGACACCCACACCAACTCCTGATCGACTTGTATTGAGTGACTTGACATACATCCATCTGTTTGCCTCAGGTGAAAAGCACTCAACTGTGCTCAAACGCGAGTAACCATCCGAGCCGCCTACAGCAAAGAGACGACCTCCCAGACTGCCTGTACCAAGCTGTTGTCTGGGGACATTGAGTGATGCAGCAGGTTGCCAAATGTTGCTTTGGAGACTGATCATGAGAGACAACAACAAACAGTTTGTCGGGCATGGAAGAGGTACTCTCTGACTTTCATGATTGGACAAAAGAATCTAACCAGTTTACACTTAGTAAGACAAAATTTATCCCTTCACTATTTTAGAATCCGGGAGGCGGGGTGCTCCGGATTTCAAGTGATGGGGATGATTGTTGTAGCTAATTTTTTATCTCAGGTAATTTTTATTTTTCTTTTATTTCAACTTCATTAGCATACACTACCATACCTAATTACAAAAGAGAAAGGAAAAGTTACTTGACATAAAAAATTAAGCACAACATGATCGAATGGGGACAAAAATCAAAACCCCCCCAAAAAACCTGGATCAAAAATTAACCTGAATAAAGTCCCATGCCAAATTTCTGAGCCTTAAAAATTTCCAAAAAGCATTAACTGATATAACGTCATACTTTTTTCGGCTGTACTTGATATTTGCAGAACTATGCGGCCAGAATGCACTGGTGCACTACAACGGATCTTCAGATTGTTTTGAATACCTTAAAACATCCCTACAAAAATCAAGCCACCCACAAAAATATTTGCCAAAATTTCCTACCCCAAAAAGTCCTTTCATCATCCCAATCCGGAGTACCCCGCCCCCTGCTAGGTTTGGAATATTCCCACCTAGATGTATGAATGTGTCATAAAGATGCGCCCATTATCCGTTTTGAGGAGTAACCAATAAGAAATAATTTTTACTTCGGCGGAGCGCGAAGTAAAGGATTCACGACGCTCAGGAATGTATCAAAGTTGTATTTTTTTGACAAGATTGGGCAAGCAAAGTCTGTAGGTTTTCGGTTCTATTCGGCTATTTGTTCGAGATATCTCGAGATCACTTCTATTTCTTTGATTTATTCTTTAACTTTTTCGAAGAAGAAAGAATTATTATTTTGGCTTTCCCAGGGTTTGAACCGACTCACCTGTGTGACCCGTCAGATCAGAGGAGACTCTTAAGTTGAGGGATTAGCCGATTGCGCTACTGCGACCCAAGGTAGTTTGGGAAATGAAAAATAGTTATGAAATGATGCACTAGTTTCGGGACAAGATTGGGTGTGTAAGTTCGTGACTTTTCGGCTTGTTTCAACTATTTCACGAAATGAGACCGGACTACTTCACGATATCTTGAGATCACTTCGAGTTTGGTCTTTAATTACTTGAGGAATAAATAGAGGATATTTTGTGGCCACGCAGAGACACGAAATTTCTCTTCGAGTCTTGAAAAACATTTCACGAGTGAGCCCTCCTTTCGAACTGTTTTATGATGAATTTAAAGTTTAAAAATGCTGCACAAAGACATTTTGTCTTTGTTGAGTGTTACATAGTAAAATATTTGCTTTCATGCGTTGAGTGACTTTCTCGAACATTCTCTATGTTTTTGGATTATCCATGAATAATTAATTAGGGCATGTTTACATTTCAGCATGAGTCAGCAGATTTGCATCAGTTACTGAAATCATAAAATATATCGAAAAGCTACTACTATTCGCCTGTTTAGTATTTTCTAGAACCTAATGTCAAACGGTATACAAGTTCCAAGCGAGTTCTTTTGATGAACTAAGTTTTTTCCCATGAGCTGGACTGCTGTGTTTACTCAAGTGAGACGAAGGTCGATTTTCAGGGTCTGTTTTTACAAGTTCGCGGAAGCCGTAAGATATCTGAAGTTCAAGTGACAGTTTGTTATTATTGGTAGAGGCTGTTTAGTTTTACTCAAAGTTCAAGTCAAGTTTGTGTTGGTGGATGCTGTGTTTTAAAGCTCTGTAAAGGCTATGTTCCTTTGGTGTTAAACTTCCTTGTGTTAATCCGACATCCCTGCGTGCTGATAGTCAGTGAATAATTATCCTCAAAACATTCGAACTCGTAACGTAATTGACTCCTCAGGGGCACCCAACGAGAATATAGTTCAAAACCACTTAAATATAGCATTGTTAAACGTATTTTAGTATTAAAACGGTAGATATAGGCATATTTTTATCCCCTAAAATTTTTCATCTGTTCGGATTTCCCAGCTGAAAGTCTAGTGATTCGAAAATTATAAGGATCAAAACTTACCTTTTCGAAAATTTCAGCCAGAAAAAAGGCTCCCGAAAATTGTAGGTGACCCTTTTAGGGTAAAAATCGCTTAAAAATGGGCAATTATACCATTTTTTAGATGTTCGAAAATCCCAGGAGAGGAAGACAAGCAAGAAATTTTGGAAAAAATGTTCCAAAAATTATAGATCTCAAATCGTCTTCCGAACAGATATTTTCCGAAAATTGTCGTTGGGTGCCCCTGACTCCTTACCCATGCCTTACATATCTTTAATCAGTACATGAAACTGCTATGCTGTTTTTGAAGCCTGATGTGACTAAGAAAAATAGAGAATTGTTTTTTTAGAAGGATTTGTATGGAGTCATCAGAGCATAACTGGGCTAATATCTCGGAGACAATTTGTCCTGAAATCCTAGTTTTTGGCAAGTAGGCCTCTTGGATGTTGCTCTTTTTAGAATATCCTGACAAATCCCATAATGTCACAAATTAACACCTTACGCTTACCATATTTGATTTCTTACTATTCCTCCACATTTTCATTTAATTAGTTCCACAACCACAACGCCGAAGTGTACGCTCCGTAGCGTCTTGTGTAAAAATACTTTGCTGTCGCACCAATTCAGCCTACGCATTGAAGGGACATTGGTTTGGTTAAGATACAAATTCACAATTTTTAATTTCGAAGAAAACAAGCAAGAATGCTTTGATCCCATTAAAAATCATTTAAAATTAAAGGATCACCATCGTGGGAGTCGAAATGCGAGTCAAAACAACCGTGTTCACTTAACCTCTTAACACATTCCTGACAGGCAATTTTTGTATCGATGTACTCTGATGAATTACTTAGAGGAATTCGCAAATATGAGTTTGTTCAAATATTTGATCTTTAAAATAACTTGAGTGTAGCGTCAAGTTACACTGAATTATTGAATCTGACAGATATATGAAGTTTTGTGCTTAGAAAACGTCCAACGGACTTCATGATGGGTAGCATATTCCCTACACGTCAACAGCTCTGTGTCAAAGGACAAAAACATGAGGTTTACTTATGAACACTAGTGGGTCAAATAATCGTCAACTCAATACCTGTAACACTCCACTGTATTAGAAATAGTTTCCCCCGCTTCTTTTCCACCAACAGCGTATAAAGTCCCGACCATTGACTTCCGAGGTTTCATACGATCAGTTCTAAACTGGGCTCTTTGCTCGGGCAAAAGGTGGAAGTTTTTTGCTTCATCCAACAGATCTCTACACTTCATGTCCGATCTTATCAATTTGTCTGGATCTACTCTGTTTAAAAGATAATGTTTAGACATCAGAGGCATACGGACGAATTGTATTAGGCTTGGAAGTTGTTTTACACGGTTGTTTAAGTCGTGATTCACCCAAGACATCACGGCCTCATATACTTCCTCTTCGGCAATAATATTCAGGTCATCACTTGAAATCACTTTGATCAGCAACTCACAAGGAAGCAAGGCGTACTCTTCAGACTTCATTACTTCCCTGAAGTTTTCAAGGACAAAATTATCCACCACCTTAAGAAAATTCACGCAACCATGTGCCTCAGTAAACTTTCTGATGCCCAAGCAATTGGAAGGATCCAGCTGGGTTTCTAGAAACTGACAACAAAGTTCTCGAACTTCATGAAACTGTACCCAACAAGCAGTCGCGAGAATGGACTGTACGTTTTCTACGTTGACTTCTACCTTTCCTGTGTAAGCAAAATCTACCAGCTGTTGTACTACATTTGCGTCTATGTCTTTCATGGTGACAACTTTTTGCCGGCTCTCCACTAAATCACTTGTAAACATGGCGTAAAAGTACGGGCTGCAGGCTGCCAAGACGGCTCTATGTGTCGGAATATGCTCGTCTCCGATTTTGAGAACAACGTCGCAGAGTTTAAGACAGTCCTTTCGGTGTTTGTTCATGATATCTAGTACTCGGACACTATGTGCCAGAGTGAAAGAAGAGTACATTTCCCTGCTCAAGGAACCTGTACCAATAGCCACTTCCATTTTATTTTTTGCACTGATTGGTAGCCGAGCTGCGGAGGACTAGGAACCATTTATCTTCGGAAAACACTCAGGAATTTTCGAAGCAGTTCGGAAGGAAACGAAGAAAGCCGATTCAGTCACGGCACGTGTGATGATTGACGTGACTAGAAACACTTGCGATCTGCACGACAAACTGAGTAGCCTGCGTGGCAGGCGTTTGAAAGGGAAGAGAAAGGGAGTTTGCGCTAGAAACGCGAGGGGCCCAAAACTCCCTTTCCCTTCCCTTTTAAAACGCCGGCCACGCAGGCTACAAACTGAGGGTCAGTCGGATCTTATAATAGACCTGATCAGTAAACTCTCCAAAACGAAAACAGTAAACTAACCTTCGGGGCAGAAGGGGTGATAGGAAAAAATATAGAAAGAAAACAAAAATAAAATGGTTAATTACATTTGCACAATTCACCATTTTGTTTTTGTTTTCTTTCTTTGTTTTTTCCTATCACCCCTTCTGCCGTAAGGATCAGTTTACTGTTTTAATTTTAAAATTTGGACATGATTAGGCTCGCTGACGAAGGTCACATGAGGTCACAGAAACTCGGGAGTCGCGAAAAACCTCTGGGGAACCTCTTCGAATTTTAATAATCCCCCTCACCTTTCTGTCCCTTCTACCGCTTTTTTTATTCCAGGTATCTTTTTAACTAGTTGAAACACCAGGGGTTTTTTTTCATTAATTTTTTTTTTATACGCTTAACCTGAGATCAGGCCCAATTTGAGCGGTTCTCATACATTCTCTCTAACGGCTACCGCTGAAATTCAGAAGTCACGCTTGTGTCACAAAGTGTCACGCAACTTCAAACCGCTGACTTTAAGTTATTGCATATTCATGTCGAACCCTCACCGCCCGCCTTTTCAGAGGACACATTTGTCTTATTTCCCGTTCTAAATTTTGCTATTACGACTGTGTTAAAGAATTTCTAATCACGCGAATATATAAGCATGTGAGTTGGGGGGAATCCCTCTTGCAGTTGTTCCGGTCAAGGCTTCGCAGACAGCAGGTACCATCAAGGTATTATTATGGCAAAATCTTTGTCTTTTTTTTCGGATTCGATTCTGTTGAGTTTGCTAAATTTTCTCATGTGAAGATGTTCGCTTCCTAGTGCCAACTTACGGATCTGAAAGAAGCCCGAGTCATGTCAGGTTCACCGAAAACAGGTAGGACGAAAAAAACAACGTGATTTTCTGTCTAGTTCAGCTTTCTTTGTGGCAACAGCTGTAAAAATAACATTGCTTTAATGTGCCATCACAATGCAAGTAAGTGAGACATCCAACCTCATGTAGCTTTTGAATAAGCTTTACAAGCTTGTTTAAGCTTACATGATGACAAAGTTTATGACACGCTGATCATGATTGCCATGTTACACTTCGCTTTTCATAACAGATGCAAAGTTTGCTGGTCTATTTTTCTTCGTAGCGTGTCGAGGCACAAAATGACAGTTTGTTATACTAATTTGATGTGTTTCCCTTCAATAACAACACAACAGGAAGTTTGTCTAGAAATCTCAGCTTACTTTAATTGGTTAAAATGGAAGATAATATCTAACCTACATTTTAATGCAATCCATCTTGATTTAACTTATTTTGATGAACGGTCAAGCTAAAATTATGAGCAATGCGAGCTTTACATATGAATTTCTTTCTCAGATTTTGCGTGATGCCTTGTATGACAACTTAAATTGTCAACTGTATACTATTTTTCTATAATTTGAGGAAGTTATAACCAAAGCTACCTGCAAACTGTGGTGTTTTTTCTGGACTTACGTTACATTGTTGTCCAAAAATTAACGTGTTAAATTAACATATCAAAACCAGGTTTTAAAAACCTTTTATCTCCAATTTGCATTCAGCGTGACAGACATTGTCCAAATCATCATTGATTAACTGACCACTTAATTTGAGGAGCTAGGAATTTTTTCATGGCTCTTACACACTGATTAATTCTTCCACAATATTAATAAAATGAAAGGTAGCCAGCAAGCATGCTCTCCGTTTGGGGATGTCACAAGAAGTCACATGCAACTGACATGTGAATGGAAGGAGGTGTGAGAAAGAGAGTCAGGGAAAGAATGGAGTGCTTGCAACAATTTATTTTTGAACATTTTTCATTTCCACCCAGAACTACAAAGCAGAATAAATTTTGTCAGTAACAAGAAATGTTACAGCCTTCTGCCTTTACCTTCATTAACCCATCCCCCTGGGAATTTTGCCAAAAAAAACATTTTGAAGCTAGTCAGGCGGTTTTCTGGTCACTATCATGCTATAAAGAGCTAAAACTTACCATAAAACCATTTACAGGCCATACACTTCGCAGCCTTTTGATCCAGATGCAAAATACTAGCTTTCAAAGTTTGGGCATGTGCAGAAAGCAAAATTTGGAGACAGGTTTTGGGTTTTAAAGGGACGTATACAAAACATGGAACCCCCCTCCATGGACCACCCCTGTGGACCTAGTCCATGGACCCCTTTGTTGACCCAGTCGTTGGACTTCCCCTGTGGACCACCTCTAATTTTTGAAGATGAATGAACCAGAGGTCTAAAGAAATTTTAAGAACCTTAAATGGACAAAACTGTGGTCAGCATTTATTATCAGGGTTTGGGCTCCTCATATTTAACACCTGTTCAAATCTTTTTCAATCCCATACCAATGCAATGGGTTTGTTTTAGTTTGATGAAGGAGTAACCATATTTGAAGGGAACAGGAGGTATGATAGGGAGGAAGTGGTCATCTAGCAGCACTTTTGTTTGTCTTCGCGTTGTGTGAAAATTGAAACAACAACGGCTTCATATGAAACTACGGAGGAAGCTTGATGTCTATGTGTTTGTAATGACAACAATCTTGAGTTGCATGAATGGCAATTTACTTGAACCAACCTGTAAGTGTCTGCAAACTTGTAAGGTGTCTGACCAACCACATTGATTCATGAGCAGGATTCAATACGTTTGCCAACCAATAAACATTGCCAAGGGCTATGAGGGAAGGGAAGTCTCGGGTAGGTACTCAATCATCATCATTACCTCTTCCTCTCTACACAGCCATTGTTGTTTCGTCGCAACACGACGACACAAAAGCTGCGTAACTGAATTCTTCCTCCCTACTTCTCCTCATGTCCCCTTCAAATAGCAGGCCCAAAGGGAGGGGGGTGCGCTCAACCACCCCCCCCCCCTCCACAGGTCCCAGAGGTCCAATTTTTCGTTGACCAACGATTTAAAACAAAGTGATTTGATAATATTTTTCAAATCTTAGTCACTTGAATTTAACTCTGAAAGAGTTAACAAGCCTCACGGTTCCCAAAAAACGTGTTTTCAACTTTATGTAAATGCATTGAAAAGGGGGGTTTGGTATGCCTACAAGGCATTTACTGCTTGCTAATATGTTGCTTACTCCTTCATTTTGTCCTTAAGGAATAAAGTGTGTATTGAAGGATTTGTAGTGCAGATTGAGAAAACATTTTCTTGCCTCTTTTTTTTTTTTTTACTAGGAGGTCCTTATAATACAAATTGATACAATTTCAAAATTCATTTAGACCTTTGGTAAAATTTCATTCAAAAATTAAGGGTGGTCCATGGGGGTTAGTCCATGGACCGGGTCCACAATGAAGTCCATGGACCAGGTCCACAGAGGTGGTCCATGTAGGTGGGAGGGGGGGTCCTTTTTTGTAAACGTCCATTTCAAAGTGACACAGCAGTCTTGACTTTTACTTTTTGCTTTCTCTCTTCCCCTCTGTTTTCACTTTTCTTGCCTTAGTTTTTTTTTGTTTTGCTAGGCATTTAGTAGTCTTCATTTTGGGGGGAAAAGATTTTAGGAAAGGTTTTACGATCCTAGTTGGATCTTTTCCCCAAGCTTTGTGAGGTTCTGCAAGATTCATATTTCTATATTATTAATGAGCCAATATTTACTAGTACTCACCTTTGTGGAAGGGAGGGGAGGAGCAAAATTAATTACTTGAGCTGTAAATTTCACTGTGGCCCCGAGAGATCTCTTGGATAATATAATTTGGTGATGGAGATTGCTAGTCAGAAATTTCACCTCGCCTAAATTACATTAAGCCCCACTTACAGTGTGACTACTGTGATGGGGGCCATCTAGCCAAAGTTGACCAATCGGATCATGGGAAAATAACAAAACATCTGAGAAAAATGGTTGTCAAGCCTAGTTACCACAAACCAAGATAAACAATATGGATTTGTTGGTCAACTTTGTCTGTGTTGTTGCACTGTAACAGAAAGTGATATCTACACATACATTGAGTAAGGACTTTAAGCTTGTGGCACAGATAAGACTTGGAATTGACTAAGTTTTTTTCCAGGAAAGAAGCAGAAGAAGCACAAAGGTCCAAAACTTGATTTTTCAAAGGGCCATCCATCACCTACCTCCTCACCATCGTAAGTGCTAGCACCTATAGTTTACTGAAAGAGTTCATGTTCACATTGGAATTGTTGCTCATAAAAAATCTACTGTTATAGCGGAGAAATATGTTGAAATATGAAGATGAAGTTGTATCCCATTCTAATTGTTTTGCTTTTGTTGTGTCAGTTATAGTTTTTACGTCCAGCGTGATAAGTGTCTCCTTCAAGAGCTTCAACTAAATTTTCTTTACTCTTTTTCAGGACCACTCCACCAAGGAATCTTTCAGACAAAGCCACACTTACTGTTGATGGAAAGGTTTGTACTGTACTAAAAAGGCAATAGCACAATAACTTATTTTTTTCCAAGATTTCACAGAAACAAAACTGCAGTTATGAAGTACTGTCACTGACACACAAAATGGCCTTGACTGACAAGAAAAAACAAGTGCTGTCAAAACATAATCAATAGTTTTTGAGCAATTTTTGTTGAGTAACAGTGAATAGCTTTTGCCCAGTATTTTCAAGTGTTCAGGTGGAGGCCTATTAAATGCTAAAGAGCAGACAACTGAATAAATTATTCAACTGTCAGTTGATTATAGGTTCCATGATTTTGCGATACATGTTACAGGTCAAAATAAAATTAATTCAGGTTAAAATTTTTTTAACCTAGCTAGGTTGATTCTCAATTTTCTTTGTCTCCTAGCCCTGATTCATGAATAATAGGAGACAAAAGGAATTGAGAATCGACCTGGGATAAAAAAATTTTAATCTGAATTTTATTTTGACCTGTTACATACATGTGCTCAGTTGAACCTCCGTAAGCAACAACTCAAAACTTAATGGTCACCTACAGGAGTTGCTTGCTCATAAGAATCAATCCAAAGGAAGTCTTCTGAAAATTGTGGAGGTCTTGACACATCTTTGAAAAAAAATATGTTGCCCGATATTTAAGTGATATTAAAAAAAAATGTGTTACTTCCTGCCTTGTACCCAGACGTCTCTCTCTTGATGAAAATGTGCGTGCAAAGGAAGGCGGGAAGGAGACAACGGGCTTCGCCTGCCATCTGTACCCTTCCAATGGTCCCTTGTGGTTCACTCCCAGTCATTCGCCTCTACCTTGCGAAAAACGAAGCGCCTAAGGAGGAGGCTGGTGTTAGTTCCATGTTGCCACTACAGGGCTTCTGATATTTCGCGGAAAAAAGAACAAAATTTTGCGGGATTTTCAGGGGCAAATTCGCGGAAAAATTGGCCGATTTCGCGGGATTTTCGCGGAAACAAGTCAAATTTTGAAGGATTTTCAGGGGCAAATTGTTAGAAAAATCAGCCAATCTCACGGGAAATTTCGGGGGGAAACTTCGCCAGGAAACAATCGGTAAAAAACAGCCGATTTCGTTGGATTTTTTTGGGCAAATTTCGCTAAAATCGATCAATTTTGCGTCGATATGACCAGCGTTGTTTAACGTTTTTTTAACAGGGATAATCATTTGCTCTTTCAACGACAGTTCGCTCGAGAAATGAGCAAATGCTAAATCTATTAACATTATGGTTAGTGCCCAGTTTTTTTGCAATGTTCATCTAAGAACGCCTGGTAGTTTTGGGACGTTCAAATGAGCAACGTCACTGTTTCAAAGTTCTATTTAAACCTGCAAACCCCACTTATTTTGTCCAGATTATCGGTTCTATTCATAATTTATACAAAACGGCTGTACATTTTGGAAATATTTCTGGCGGATTTTGCGGTATTTCGCGTTTTTTGGGGAATTTCGCGGGATTTCGCGAAAATACCTGAATTTTGCGGGTCCGCGACCGCGCAAAATATCAGAAGCCCTGCCACTAGGAGTTCTTTGTATAGCATAAACTTATTATTATTATAAGCCGCCCATTTATAGGCCCATCTACCTGAAAGCAAAAAAATACATCAGGCTGTAAGCCCCCCTCCCTCCAAATATAAGGCCCCCTCTAGCTTGTCTTAAAATGAATTCAATGATCTACTTTCATATAATATTCTTCATCCCACAGTTCACAAATATGATTTTCATATCTTAATGAATCTGACTTTGTATGACGTTTTGAAGCTTTATAAAGGGATAAAATTCAACAAGTATTTTGGTCAGCTATGAGCTTGTTTTGAAAATTAGTCCGGTTATTAGCCCCCCAAAATATAAGATCTCATAAAACCCCTTATGAAGTTGTATAAGCGCTTGTCTTATAATCAGAATGTTATGGTATTGTGAGTAACATAAACATGCACAAAGTGTACTTAGAGATCAGAAAATGTGTCAAACGATTAAAAACATTGGAAAATTATAAAATTTTCATCCCATTGCGCTTGCTTACAAGAGGTTCCAACAGCAGGGCTTTGACTGGGAAAATTTTGGTGTAGTTTTGCATCTGTGGTCACTTATGGGAGGTGGTTGCTTATGAGGGGTGGTTGCTAAGTAATACGAGGGATAGTCCTCATACATATGCACAGAGGTTCAACTCAGTTTTCTCCCTAGATGGGGCACGTGGCTTAACCCTTTAAGCCCCAATATCCACATACAAATTCTCCAAACTGATCTTTATACATTTTCTTAAAGAATAAGTTTAGAGAATTTGATGAAAATATCAAAGCATTTTCTCTTAGGTGATCAATTTATTAATTCTCATAACCAAATCTCTTGACAATCAATGGATATGGTTAGGAGAAAATTGATGTTGGACACCATTGGGACTTAGAGCGGTTTTCACTTGACTGTCGTAAAACCAAAACCAAAGTAAATACACTAGCCAACCAAAGGGCGTAGTAAAACCAAAACCAAACCAATTCCTCAATTACTTTCGAAAGTCAAGTGAAAACCACTCTAAAGGGTTAATTCACTTGAAAATCATTCCCACCTGGCTTAAAAATCAAAGAGTTGACCCAATAGATCAAACCTTATGTTGACGTTGAATTTATTTTTTAAAGTGATTTAATGTTGGATGAATATGCTCAAACCTTTGATGCATTCATTTTGCTGAACAGCAGCCATGCATCTTGAAATTGTCCTACAAACACAAGGGCCCTTTGAGGAGCTTACATGGATTACTGAACAAAATTCCTGCACTGTTAATGCGCAAAACGAAAAACGAGGAGCTTCTCAAAGGGGTCTTCTGGGAGAAATGATCATATTGGTTACCGCCTTGCTGTGTTTGGTTGCACATTGTTCACCGTCTGTACAAAAATTTTATTATTCAGGTTACATATACAACAGGCTTCGTACAAACACTTTTGAAAATTACAGTAAGAATAGCCCCTGGCCTCCTTAAAATCCTAGGGAGAACACTGCTACATTAATTTTGTTACCTGCAGTATAAGGCTGCTATACCAGGAATGTAAATGACCTCTAATGTCCTGTGCACTTGTCTCCAGGAATTTGAGTGCAATGCTGAAGATTTGAAAGAGTTAAAAGAGCTTGGCCATGGAGCATATGGATTTGTTTACAAGATGATTCATGAGCCAACAGGGAACATCATGGCAGTCAAGGTAATGTCGGACAGTGGTCAATTATTATAGGCCACAGTCTAGATATTTAAAATCTAAGGCTTCTTGGAGCACTAGCATTGGCCTTGTCCAGAAGCATAATGTTACAGGTCAAATCAATCAAATGTGATCTTTAACATTTAACCCTGAAGCATCTAACTCAGGGTGCAAGGAAAGTTAGCAGTGATGATTAAGCCATTCTGGCAATAATTGTGCTGACGTTTCAAAGGATGCAAAGTCATTGTTGTGATATCTTAAACTCGCTTGTCTTTGAAAGGATCGGTTTTAATAATTGGACTTTTTCTTTTTCGGGTAGCAGTAAACTTTATCAGCATTTTGTTCACTCATTCCAAAACAGCTAGGCTGCTGAGGTTGCGATTGTAAATTGGTTGCAGTATACCACAGGGTTGTCAGAAAGGTTTGAAGTAGACGGCTGAGTTGTCAAAGTAAGCGGCCAGTCCAGGGATATTTTATTTAAAGAACGCCATCGGTAACGAAATGCTAAGCAGAGTAGTGGGCCTATACTAACCAAGTAGGCAGCGATTTTTGCTGGTAGCCGGCCACTTTGACAACCATGATACCTTCTTGTTGATTGTGTACTGCTCTCATCTTTTAAATTTGGTCAGCAACAGTTGATTCTGAAGAATTGGCCAAGGGATTAAAACTAAGCAGGAACAGCAGCTGTGTTTTGATTGGATAATGATGATCAAATGATAACAAATTGCTAAATATCCTCATTAGCCAATCTGCTTTAAGCCTCTGGAATCTTTTAATTTTAAGGAGGGGTCATGTTCTCATCATGAACGTTGATATTATCTCTCGTTTACAGAGGATACGAGCTAATGTAAACTCTACAGAACAGAAAAGGCTTCTCATGGATCTGGATGTATCTATGCGAGTATCTGACTGTCCATACACTGTTCACTTTTATGGTGCACTGTTTAGAGAGGTTTGTTGTTTTTGTTTTTGTCTTACAAATGGTTGCATAATAAATTAATACTTTTAAAAGGTGCATCCAGCTTTCAATATTATTGAATAACCTAGTAGAAAGATGTCCAAAATGATTGTTTATACCAAACCAAAATTGTCCAGAGGAAATCTATACATATCATTCAACCAGATTTTGTAGTCACACTCCAGTTAATTCTGTTTGATAATTTCAAGTTGTAGTTGTGTGGAATTTTTTTCATACCGTATTTTGTATTGAGGCCTTTTAAATCACCTGTTCCTCATAATGTTAACATTTGTTACTTTAGCAGAGCTTCATGTGCGCGCTTTGCGAGGGGATCCCCATAGCTAAGAAAATTTGGTTATCTATCCATCCGAGAAGTTTTGGTAGTCACATAACCTTATATATCTGTTCGTCCGTCCACCCATCTGTCTGCACCACAGGGCAACCAATGAGAAAATCTCACACTTTCCAGCTAGTGTGGGAACCTGCAACCTGATATTGCACATCCATGTTGTGGTCAGTTGACAGTTGTCAAAACAGGGTATCTGCTGACCAGTATCACATAACCGTATTGCAGGCTCAGGTGTTGTCACATAGAGGTTTTGTTTTTTTGTTATCTGCTGACAAGTTACTAGTTTTCAACTTATCGCAGGCTCAACTCCAAGTGGTTTTCTTTACAGTTATGGTTACAAAATTTATTGTGTGAGGTAAATTATAAATTTATGTACTGGAGCTTAGCTAAATCTATATATTATTGTTTTGTCTTTTCCAGGGAGATGTTTGGATTTGTATGGAGTTAATGAAAGTATCACTGGATAAACTTTACAGAAAAGTGTATGCTACTCCTGATGGAAGAGTTCCAGAGGAGGTCTTACGACAAATAGCCTTTGCTGTAAGTAATGGGCCTCAACACTGTTCAAAAAATGATATTGACAAGTTGTCACATTCACACATTCAATGAATAATTCTGTCATCATGTTTTTAACTGAATTTTATTTTACTCCACTTACAGATGGTGAATGCATTAAATTACCTCCATGATAAACTGAAAGTAATTCACAGAGGTGAGAAACAAACCTACTTGTTCTCATGGACGAGTTTGGCAATTTTCATCATCATTCTTGTTCATTTTTCTTTTTTCACCTCTTTTGTTTTCTTTCTATTTTTTTGCTTTATTTTGAACAAACTTAGGTGGTATCTGATCCAGCCTGTATTGTTTTCTGTCTGACTATCAAGTGCTCTTGATAGCAATAGTTTCAAAAGCACATTTATTTCATTTCTTGTTTTGATAATTTATGCAATGGTCTAAAGGAGAAAGTTTTTTGAAGTTAATTAATTATTAGTGTTTACATTTCTCTTTTTTTATTAGTTTAATATTATTAGAAAAATGTTACAAAGTATTTGTAAGTATGATGAGCAAACTCAAGGTATAATAATAAAATTACTAGTCCGAAATTAAGGTGAAAAAATGATTATAAATTGAGAAGTTATATTTATTAATTTAAATGCATTTTCTGATCCTTGCATTCACCTTTATTACCTGATACTCCACAAGCAAGTCTTAAGATATTATTACTTCAGAATTTGGAAAAAGCTGTTACATTGTTGTGCTTGTTATCAATTGTAACAGATGTCAAGCCATCCAATATTTTAGTAGATGAAAATGGCAATTTTAAGCTCTGTGATTTTGGAATCAGTGGACAACTGGTAGATTCATTAGCAAAAACAGTAGATGCAGGTTGCAAACCCTACATGGCTGTAAGTACTTTATAAGGCTGTTTGATTTTAGACCAGTCTGAATGTTTTGCATTCTGCCCATAGCCAGAGCGGTACTGCATGGAGATATTAAAATAGCGGTTATCATAGCTAGAGTTAATTAACTCCCACAAGGACGTTTTTGGGTATATAAGCGGCCACGTGCTATTAGACACTATCAAAAATGTAGCAGGTTTTTTTTATTCTCTCCCTCGGAGTCTTCAGCATTTCAAGTGTGTAATCAGAAAATTACAGAATACCAAATAAACCTGTTGTGAGTGCAAAAAACTGGCACGTGGTTCTCTTCCAAGTGGATATGACATATATCCAAATCACTGAAAAATTTACTTATCGCTTTAAAATCAGTCAGTCATGTGGTAGTGAGAATTTTGGGTCTGTAAAACTTTTCTTCTAATCTCAAAGTATGGAACTGTTTTTGATCAGACTTGAAATCTCATTCTTAGTAAGTTTCTTTGCATCTTTAATTTTTGACCTTTTTGTCACATTTAATGACTCAAAAGAGTTTTTAATAAGTCTTGGATTTTATTTACCACTCATCATCCTGAGCTGCATATAACAGTCTGTCATCAGACAATGTCTGACTATAATATTATTTGACCAGTGAAATCACACCTGCGGTCACACAATTAAGATGACCAGATAGATAAAATACGAAAGGCTATCACTTTGTAGCTCACAAGATTTGCAGAGAAATGATGGAATTTTTTTTTTTGAAAAAGGTTAACTAAATTAATATTCTATGTCTGACAACTTTTCTGGTCTGTCCCACTTAAACGGCGACCTATTCACTCATATGTCCTTTAATCAAAAAAGAAAAATGATGTATAACTGACATGTTATTCCTTGTGATGTCATTGTAAAGGAGAGTGGAGATTAGTCTAATTCTGGTGTTGATGATCATGATATGAAAAGGGTACCAAAAATAAACAGAAACAGTGAGTTCCAAAACAACTGTGCCAAATAGCATGCTTTGTATCAGTTACAAAATATTTCAAATTATCACTTTTCAAGTTGTTGATGCATCATAGTCATTTTATATTATAATTTATGATTTTAGCCTGAGAGAATTAACCCAGCCAGGGACATGAAAGGTTACGACATTCGCTCAGATATTTGGAGCCTTGGAATAACTATGGTAGGACTTGTGTAAAACTAATTTTCCCCTTATTTTCTGCCCTCTGTCTTAGTTTTGAATTTCCTTTTGCATGAAATCAGGGGAGCTAGTTCACCTGTCTTATGCAAAGTAATCAGGGGTGTGTTTTCAAAGCCAATTAACAGCCTTGAATAAGCACTATTATAGGTAACTTTGTCCAGTATGTAAATTTTCTAGAACTGATTTACGGGTCAGACATTTCAAATTACATAACATCAGAAGAGCAATGTTGTGGTGGACAAAACACTGACCCCCATGAGTCAATGGACTACACCAGTGGGCTACCTTTTGAATAGTTTTACTGATAGTTGCTTGATATATACGTACGTGTACCATTGTCGTCTATTCAGAGTCCAAAGACTGCAGGGGGTCATTATTTTGTCCACCACCGCATATGTTATTACGTTACGTTATTACACCACCACATATGTTATGAATCTAATGACGGCAAGTATTCTATGCCAACTCTATTCTAGAGAAGTAGTTATTACAATTTTTCAAATTATGTGACCTTCTGGAAATCCCACATAATGTCTTAATAATTTTCACACACCAGCACAAGGCTTTAGAAATGTTTCATAGCCATATGAATTATATATTTTCTTTTTTATTACAGATTGAACTAGCAACAGGGAAGTTTCCTTACACACAGTGGAAAACCCCATTTGAACAACTCAAGCAAGTTGTACATGAACCTTCACCAACCCTTCCAGATGATGGGCCATACTCAGATGAATTCAGAGATTTTGTGGTTCAATGGTATAGTTGATTTTTTTTCTAAACTTCATGCCAGTGACTTGCCTAGCCGAACCTAACCCAGGAAGGTTCATTCTAACCTAGCCATTAATCCACAGAATTTTTAAAGATGCAATTGCCTTTTATTTTTAAATAACAGGTAATTATTAGGCAAGTCCTTAATCACTCTCCCTATGGTCTGGTAACAAAAGAATTAAATACCTTTTACTTTCACATGCTTGTTTGACCTAAGAAAGATTTTTTTCTTTTTCTTCTTTTTTCATATAGCTTAAAGAAAGACTACAAAGAAAGACCAAACTATGTATCACTTTTGGTAAGTTACAGCATCAAAATTAATGATTATTTAAGTTGGTACATCAAAATAATACCCTGATTGTTAATCTGTAATGATTTATTATATTTTACAATTTTTTTATTAGCATCAAAATATTGTTAAGACACTTCCATCCCAATCACAGGGTCTATTTTGGGTTACATAACAAACTGAACCCTTACCCTCCCCCTCTGCTTTACCAAGCTCTTTTGGCCCACAGGCTACCTGCAGGGGAAGTCGGCATACTCTTATTTATTTTATTTTTACATTTTCTTCCAAGAAAGTGTGAAATGATGGCTGTTGGTGTCTTTCAGAGCAATTGTCATAACTACTTTAAAATAGATTCATTGTAGTATGTTTAAATTTTTATTTTACAAGGCAGTAATGTCTTAGGTTAAAGTGTGGGGGATGTTATCTTATAAATGTGCAGTAATTAGTGCAAGTCTGAGATGGTACGCAATTAGCTTGTGACAATGTGAATTTCGTACATCAACACCCCCAGAAATGGTTAAAAAGCCAGACAGCATTGTTATTCTCTCATCCATAAATTTCAGTTGTTTTGATAGCGTTAGAAGGCTAGCCTGTGTACAATTGCCCCAGGGCTATTGAAGGCATATAAGGTGAAGAATATTTTAACAACTCAGATGGTGTCATAATTATTATTGTACGTTTTTTTTTTTGTCTCGTAGGAACATGAATTCCTAAAGGAAAACAATGCTGAAAGTAGTTTTGATACCAAGCAATGGATAATGCCCATCCTTCAAGAAATAGAACAATCCAGTTAATAGTTGTAGTAATTTTAACAAAGACAATAATTTTATATTGTTCATATTTATATCCTTATATGAAAGAATTTTGTGCAGGTTCATTGGTACATGGAATGATGTCTAGTTTTTACACCGTGTGACGTGAGATTTGTGGAATTCAGTGTACATACTCTGGCACCTTTACAAACTATTTTTGGTTTGTATTTCCTAGCCTGCATAACAGGCATTATTGTTTTGCATTTTTCAGGAGAGAAGGCAAGAGCAAAGTAAGTGAGAAGTGCTAAAAATGTGCTAAGAGGGAGGGTGTTATTGCCCCCCATGCCTTCTCCCATTTGTGTGTGGCACTCTTCGCTCACTTCACCCTTGCCAATGCTTGCCAGAAAAACACTAAAAAATATCGCCTGTTATGCAGGCTATGTATTTCCGAGTACATGGAAAATGATAACAGGGAATTGACAATAACTGAGTATTTAATGAAATTTGATTTGACTTCAAAATGATTTCCAGTAATTACTAAGGAGATTTTGAACTTTCAATTGTGTATGAAACCTCTCTTGTCCCAGTAGACAATAAACAGTAAGTTGTAAATTAATACTTGTAGTGGGGTCAAATTTGCTGTGCGTGAGAAGTTGAGCAATTGGAGATTTAAACTATGTGAACTAGCATTATCCCCCAAAATATTATTATGGAACCTTACCAAGATTTATTTTTTGGAGATCTCACTTTTAATTTCATGTTCTTATCATCCATTTTCAGATCAGACTTATATAGTTGCCAGAGGGAAGGAGGGATTTTTACCCACCACTTTCAATCTTAGTGACAGCATTGACTTGAGTCTTGTTTTGTTGTCCTTAAATTTGAAAAAGCAGTATATTTAATAACAAAATCCCTAGAAATTGCAAACCAGCATATAATTTTTCTTCAAGAGTTTCTGTTGGACACCAGCTACATCTAGCTTTCTCATTCAATTTGCATCAGATTTAACAAGTTATTTTTTTTATGGGGAAAGGAGTTGTCGCACTTTGGGGCTGGCCCTGCCATTTAGGACTAATTCTTGATAATTATAATAATAATCGATACTGGAATATCTGTTCTACAGTTGTTATGTTGCCTTAATTGCAAGTTTGCAACATTCTATTAAAGATGATACGAGAAATCTCAGAAACCTTTATTATGTGGACACTAACAGACCTCCAATTTATTAGGTGTCTGCTAATGCAGGGTTTGTTTACATAAAATGCCTTGGCACTGTGCTCATCAGTATGGTACTTGCAGCACACAAATGTGAACACACCTTTTTCTAAGTACTCAGGCCAGAATTTTGGCACTGAAGCCCTGTGTATACCCCTTTTCTTTTAGATGTGAGGTAATCTGCTATTTTGCATACCCATAACTCCCTGCAATGCAGAACTGAGCAAAATTGTGAATGCTTGCATTTCCGGCTTTCACACTGATGTAAGGTACCCAAGGTGTGAAATATGACACCATTGTCGGTGTCCAGGCAACCTGAACGGTCCTGGAGTACAACTTTACTAAAAATATTGAGGCGAGGTAATTAGTAAAAGAGTGTTCAATGTTTTTGTATGTGTTCGAAGTTAAACAATGTGTTGTAAGTAAGAATTACCTGCTTTCTGTCCTTGAATAAAATATCAAAAGGCAAACATGAACTTGCAGTGTAAGGCCAGTAAGTCTGACGATATTTATTGAGTAATACATAATACAACAGGATCAGGATTTCAAACCCTCAGTGGCTCACCTATACCCAAATACTGGTAGAGTACCTTCCCTACACTTTCACGATTCTTCGACTAGTGAAATCCCCTCCTTGTTTATACTTCAACATGGGCTTACGCAGTGGCAGGTACAAAACGCAGGTCAAAGTCACGTTAGGGTACTGGGCTGAGTTGTTCAAAGCTGAGATTTGAATTCAGATTTGAAAGCTTAAACAGCATTTTAGTTTTAATTCTTTTTGTCCACAAGTTGATGATTGGAAGTTCTAAAAATTACAGAGAAAATTATCCAGGAAAATGCTTTTGAACATAAGAAAGAAAAACCCAGGTTAAGTACTAATCAGCCTTCAAACAACTGGGCCCAGGTTACCAACCATACTACGGTAAAATAAGCAACACTAAGTGTCTCCTACCCCTAATCACAATCCGTTATTTTATCAAAAGAGCAGTGCCAGACCTGCTCTAGTGACCTTTGCTTTGTATTGCTACCTGTAGGCCACTGGGCACGCTACGTGGGTACCTTTTGCATCTAAGAAATAGTCAATTGAAAGGATAAATAACAGGCATCGAAATTGTTCGCTTATCATGCACCTGTTTCCAGAGCTACAGTCTGCAGGTTAACATTACTTCGTGGGTTTCTTTATTTTAGGGTGGAAACTTGAAGCTTAAGAGAAGATCTAATTACCGATTTACAGTTATTGGCGCAATAAGGCCCCAGAACGAGTTCTTGGACAAAAACTGACAGTGAAACATAGCGATATGTTTATTACTTTCGTTTAACCTCAATTTTCTTTGCAGATTCTAATTGTCCAAAACTGATACAAGATAATTTTAGGCCAAAATATGAAATTTCTCTTTTTTTGTGCTTGGTAAAAAATAAACCAAGTAACGGAGTTAGGTGATTAAGCGACGCCAAGAGCATTTCAACGATTTAGAAAGAATTCGATTTTCATTGGTGGCTATATCAGGAGAATCTAAAGAGGTGTTGTCTAGGTGTCCATTAATTAAGAGAGAGCAGAAAAGGCCTTGTTTGTATGGACACTGCAAAGCGGTATTAGCTTGGGAAGGGATCATGAAGTGAATTCCACAAAACTCAGTTGACTGAGCACTTATTCAACAAGAAAAGATAAAAATTAATAAGGACTCTTGGATGGCCCTACAAACTCTGAGACCACTTCTCAGTTTTTGCAATATTATTGTAATTATCATAATACAAAACAACGACAAAATAATTACTCAGTGAACTAAATTTAATGCATGACATGTCCCATTTCCAAAGTCTCTGAAGAGACATTGATTGCTGAAGTTACATTATTTCTAAAAACAGATCATGATTGTCTACTCCCAAAAGAAAAACATCAAGAGAAACTAAATTAAAATTTAAAATTAAATACCAAAGAGCCCTAGCTTTCTGTGATGCCAATGAGCCTCTGGGCAACCAAAACTCTTAGATCAAGCACAATGAGTGCACATTTAATTTTCACAAGAAATAAAAACTTGGCTGTAACACTGCTTGCTTCTAAAACGACTTAATGTGATCACATCTTCACCTCTGGTACAGTGATCATTCTAATAAATATACAAAATATTGAAAAAAGTTTATATTAATAACAGTCAGTTATTAAGCGTTGAATGTTTAGGTCTGTTGAGGGTAGGCCCATGCAGCAGCCTGTTGTATTTGGCCTTGGACAGCATTGGTAGCCTGTGGCTGGTAGGGTTGGTAGGCAGTCTGCTGGTAGACAGGGGCTTGTTGGGTGTACTGTGGCTGTTGGCCATGCTGCATTAACGGTTGAGGTGCATTTGGCTGTGAGGGTGGGGGCCCTGGAGGGGGTGGGGGTGGTGGATGCTGTGAATAAGTACTGCCGTAACTGTTGTATCCTCCTCCCATCATACTGTTCCATGAGCCATTCTGTTGCGGCTGATGCCTTCCCCCGTAGCCTCCTTTGTCACCACGTGAATCTGCATTCCTGTTGGAGTGACCCCCTCTTCCAGAGTTTCCCCGACCACCACCGGAGAATCCACCAGAGCGGTTACCGCCTCCACTTCTGGAATCACCACGTGCATCTCCATAGCTGTTTCTGTTAAAAGAACCACCAGTGCTTTGCTGGGCATTTTTGTCGCGGTAACGGCTACGATCTGAAATGAAACTTAATATTACTTTCAGTCTGCAATAGAAATTTTGTATGATGACACCATAAATTTTGACCACAACAACCAGAATCCTTCAGATTGCTGTTTTCATGTGCAAACCAGGGCTATGGTTGATAAATCTCTGTGAGATTGACAAATTGAAATAGAGCGGTTTTCACTTGACTGTCATAAAACCAAAACCAAAGTAAATACACTAGCCAACCAAAGGGCGTAGTAAAACCAAAACCAAACCAATTCCTCAATTACTTTCAACAGTCAAGTGAAAACCGCTCTAAGTAGTCAACTTGCATCATGAAGAAAATGGCCTAATACATGTTTCTTTACTATTAAGTTCCTGAAGGAGTATGGTATTATACACTTGAATAGAAATGTGAAAAGGTTTCTGTTTATCTCAGAAAGTCTGAAAGTACAGAACACTGACTTTTTTTTTCAAGGCAAGATGTGCAAATCTTTGGTTACTTACTACATGTATAATAAATTTACATTATCATGTTATGTTTTCAGGAACCCTGAACAAGAGCTTCTCTAAACCCTGTTGTAGTCCTGAAGAATCTTTTAAGTGTTTTCATGGCATTAATCCAATATTACATGCAGAATGAGGTATGGTCACACTCACTTCTGCCAAACATTCCCTTTGCTTGTTCTGCCAATTGCATGAGCTTGGGGTTGACATGCTGGTTGGCTTCTTTCAATATAGAAATCAAATCCTTGGCCTGCTTGGCATTTCCAGTGGTGAAAAATGTGTATGATGTCCCAGTACGATCTGAACGTGCTGTTCGACCGATGCGATGCACATAATCTTCAGAGCAACTTGGGAAGTCAAAGTTGATGACAAATTTGATGTCAGAGATATCTAAAAGAATGTCGCAATGAGGTAATGAAATGAGCTAATGCATGCCAATAATCCACTCGCACAATAAAAAGAGGGCGTCAAAACAGAAATGCCAGCTCCCTAATGATACATTTTGTTGCAAATGTCAGAAACAGTACCTGCATACTCACGTGGGTACAGTGTTCCAAATGAAACGGTGACACTTATTTGGACTGAAGGATTTCTTGCAACCCTCCCAATCCACTTAACATTAGCAAGTAGTCATAAATAAATGTAGACTTGGCCATAAGGTAGCCTGTCATCTATTTTGTCCAATCAAACTTGCCTGGATTGTTGAGTAACTAGTAAGCTACCTGTCCCATTGTGTGATATTTTGGAGGTTGTTTCTGCCCTGGGAGCCGGCATGAAATGTTCACCAGGTTACACTTGAAGCAGGAACCACACCATGACTCAGCGCATCCAGATGATTGGGAGGGAAGGAACAGAGATAAGGGACTCTAGAGGCAGTGCAGCTTTGCCTTGCTGCCTGTCTTATGATCAGTCATGCAAACATTGTGGGCCCTTTAGATTCAACACTGCATTGCAAACAACATGCATGTTTACAGACAGGAGGTCTTTCAACAAGAAGAGAAATAACCTGATTTCCCGATACAAACTACTTTTGTAATCAATGCAAAATAATTAAATATTTTCAGGAGTAGCATTATGCCATTGCAAATATCTGAAAGTTCCAAATTAACTAACCAGTAGCCTTGCCAAAGGTGCACATGTTATACTGAGGGCATTAGTATTATCAACAAAAATACCTTGGATTACAAAAGTGTTTATTTAATTCTCATTGAAAATGACCTCCCCTGCAACACTTGCCTAAAACGTTTGGAAAGTTGGACATTAATAAACATCTTCTGAAAGATCATTATTTCAACTATGCAACCTCTACACTGAACTTTTAAGTCAATGTCCAGTGCTTTGGCTTACTGTTTTTCTTTTAGACATATACGGATTTCAATATTTGTGCTACAGTAAAAACCCACGAGTAAGAACCTAAGATTTAAGAACCTGTTAGGCTAAAATTTGCAATTTAGACACCCTCTATATAAGAACCTCTTTAGCCTAAAATTTGGAGAAAGGTTCTTATTTTCAAAAATCATTTAAAAATATTTACTAATTGCAATTGCAAAAGTTAAGTTAGTACATAATATTATATAAATGTTGTTTGATTGGGGTCATTGAGAAAATGTTTATAATATTGTGTTTTACAGCACAATCATGTATATAAAGTTGTTTTGACTCAAGAAATTAAAATTCATGGGAGAATAGATCTCTATTATGGTCATATTAAAATACAAGCAATAATTAGGTATGCAAATTTAAGGGTGCTGATCACTAAAATCTTCTTAGCAATGACATAATTTTTTCCAAGAAATTAAGAACCTTTTAAGAACCTAGATAGCCTAAATTTATGTTAACAACCATTTATGTAAGAACCTATTTAGGCTAACCCTGGAAAATGTAGGTTCTTACTTGTGGGTTTTAACTGTATTCTGGATAGTCGAAACAATGGTATACTTGCTTTGTATGTTTTTTTTTTTGTTACACCAATTATTCATGGAGTTGTGTTCAAAAAAAAATAAGTCAGAGCAGTGGACTTTGACTTAAAGTTTGAGGTTGTACAGATACTAATATGCAGCAGTCAGCTGAATCTGCCAGGCTCCACAAATGCTTACACTACTGTGGAACCTCACTCCATCTGTACAACATCAAACACAACTCCAATGTACACATTAAATTTTTAGCACTTTTATTGAAACTCAAGGCTTGATACAAGATCATGTCTTAGAGGAGCAATATTTCCTCCTCAAGGAAACGTTATTGTAAAACTGCATTGCCTCGACTCATCTTTACAGAAAAGGAGGCAAACTGAGGAAAAGATGCATGGCTATAAAGTAAAATGACATGCAAAGAATTTTTTTGCTTCTCAAAACCACACTGAGCAATAAGACATGCAAACAGAAAAGTCTTTGAAGGTTAAGTCAAATATGTCTCTTGAGAGATCGCTACAGATTTCCTGAAATAAAAAAAATGTTTACATCTGTATGCATGTGTGCATCTGACAGTGGCCCACAAGATTGCAGTTAATACATGTACTTATGAGTATTTTTGGTAATCTGTGACAGGAATTTTGGATAGTGATTTATGGAGAACCTATCAACAGAAGCGTACGGCATTACATCTGCTCCTCTCCCTCCAGCTCAGCTGACAAACCCAGGTCATGCACAGTTCCTTCCAATCAAGGACAACTAGTAACCACAGCATGGATGGTGCACCCTCCGATTACAAACTAATAAACCTACTACAGGGTTAAAAAAAATAAGTCGTAAAGTTAGTGCATAAGTACAAGCAAAAATATTTTAGTTATGCTAGAATCTAACTACAAGTAATGGTACAAAATATCAGTCAAAGGTTTCTGCATTTTAGCTACACATAAAAACAAAAGGACTCTAACTGCTTGCATTAAATAGGGAAAAACCAGTATAGGAAAAAAAACAGAGTATTTTAAACAAACCTAATCCTCTGGAGGCAACATCAGTAGCAACTAAGATGGGAGCATTGCCCTTCCTGAATTCTGCACAGCAAAAGATGGATAAAATAATTAACATCCATTGAGGTCTTATAAGTATGTCAAAAATATACTTTCACAAAATAATGAGAGAGTAGTCTCTTTATTGTCCCTACTAGCTGCACCTTTTAAAATAGCATCACAGTATGTACAGGATGCTCAGTCTTTACTGCATAACTTGCAGCAGTTGTTGCTTGCATGTTTATACCTGAAACCTGTACTAAGAAAAACTGTCTTTCTGCTCTTTTCCTCTAGTGAACATACTCAAGATCAAGCACAAAGAAGGGCAGCATCTGCATGATGCCTGAGCTTTGCATTCAATGTTGGCTACTTTGCAATAGTTATTTATTTGACTCTTGTGATTACAACAATCAGTGTGACAATCATTCTGTGGAGGCATCTGAATGTTACCAACCCTAATGAGTGAAGATTCAACCTACCATTTAATACCCAGTCCCTTTCAGGTTGAGATTTGTCTCCATGAATACACATAGCAGGCCACCTAAAATTGAAAATGATAACTCAATACACATCATCTTATAACATTCATCAAAACAAAACAAAATACCAAGAGCATCAGTAACGAGGAATTCAATGTGGTCAACATTTAGAATTCAGAAAAACTGAACAGTCATCAGTGCTCTTCAGATAAAAACAAAACTAACATTTGCAGCAAATAAAGAATAACCATACCCATCTCTACGCATCCTTCTTGTTAATTCATCAGCTCGTCTTTTAGTCTCGGTGAATATAAGGGACTTGTTCTCTGACTCGCCCATGATTTCCTCTAGAAGCTTGATTAGCCTAGTAATATTAGTAACAAATAAGGTTACACAAACATGACCAAGTTTCCGCCATGTGGAATCTTTTCCTGAAAATATTTCTAGTACGCAGTAATATTATTTAAAGAAACTGTGCTCCTGCATCCAGGGGCAAATACATGTATAGAGATCCCAATTAACAAAACCAAATTTTTGTACAGTTAGCATCCTTTACATTGTAATCTTAGTAACCTTGAGAAATAAGAATATTGATGTCCAGGGTCAGGTTCCTGAAAGACCGATAAGCACTAATTCAGGATTAAAATTTTGTTCTACTTTTTGTATTTACATACCGTCCTATGCATTGCTTAGAGTAACACTTTGTGTTATCATTACTGTGTCTCAGACTTAAGGCTTAACAGTATTTTGTAAGCTGGAGTTACATGTTATCAGACAAGAAAACTGTGCTTAAAGTTTGGCCTCATCTTGGGTTAAACTAAACTGTCTTCCAGGGAACCAGGCCCTGAATGTTACAAAATAATAGAAGCTCAGTCATTCTTCCCTCTTTAAGTGTCTTGACTGTCTTGACTCAATTGTCTCATATTAAAGATGTATAAAAAGAGAGTTCTGTAACATTAAAACCCTGACATGACAACATAACGATAATCATAACTCAAGGTCCAAAACTTACTTGTAGTCTTTTTCTGTCTCATCACACACATCCACAATCTGTAAGATTTTGTGGTTTGCAGTAAGACCCAATGAGCCGACTGTAATGTGCACATAATCCCGCAGGAAATCAGATGCCAGACCTTGTACTTCTTTAGGCCATGTTGCACTCCACATAAGTGTCTGTCTATCTGGTCTGATTTGTTCAATGATTGTCCTGATTTGTGGTTCAAATCCCATGTCAAGCATCCTGTCTGCCTCATCAAGAACCAAATAAGTACACCGTCTCAGGTTTGTCTTTCGAGCTTCTAACATGTCAATCAATCTTCCTGGAGTAGCTATACAAATCTCCACACCTGAAAGACCAAAAGTTACTACACTCACCTACAAGAGTAAAAATCACAGGCCTTAGGGCTGTTGCTCACTAGCAATGCTAGCATAAGCATTGTTATAACATGGTCCTCACTAGTGAGGAGAACCTTAACATGAACACAAGAAGATCACAAACGCTTGTTCTTATGCTAAAGCAGATGTCTAGGCCATTCTCGCTATCGCATTAGCTCATGCTTATGCTTGCATTGTGCTACTGCTTATGTACATGTTTGTGCTTCCATTGCTACAGAGGACCAGGTTTTACTGTCCAAAGCAACATTTCGTTCACCAAAGATAGCCAAAAAATTTTAAAACCAGGCAAATGTTAAGGTATTAGAACTGCTA